CCGCGTCCCCGCCGTGGCGATCCTGCAGACAGTGCAGCTCGTGCCTCCTCCGGTGTGGAGGGCACAGGGCCCGAGGCCACAGGGCATGTCGGCTGAGAGCGCTGTTCTCGTATCTTCCCGAGCCGTCCTCATGGGCTCCTGCCCCCAGCGGGTCTGCGATCGCCTCCTGGGCAGAGGCCGGGGTGGGGCGGGTGTGGCGGGGGGGGGGGGGGCTTTGGAGGCAGGACAGGGGGGCTTTGGAGGCAGGACAGGGTGTCTCAGGAGTCCAGTGTGCGGACGGTGTCAAGGGAGGAGTGGTAGGCAGCGTGGGTGCCACAGGCGTGCGGCTAGAACTTACCCAAGCGCCTGCCGTGTGACCTGCCAGAGGTGGGCAGAGGGTGTGGCAGGTCCAGGGGGGCAGCCGGGGGGGCACGGAACGGTGGGTGGAGTGGCCGCAGGCCTCACACTGAACGTCTGTGTGTGCCTGACGGGCAGCGGTGCCCTAGTTTCCCACGTACAGCATGGAGGCTGGAGACTGTGATGTTGTGACATGACCTCCACACGAGTCTAGCTCCCGTCTGTCACCAGAGAGGAACGCTTTTTCTCGTGATGGGACTCGCCAAGCTCCTCTCAGCAGCTCTCAGAGATGCCCCGGCGTCCTCACCCCATCCCCGAGCTCACATCGCCCGCGACGCACGCGGTGGGCACCTGCGTCTGTCCTCGGACTCCCTCCCCCGCCCCTGCTCCCTTTGAAGAGCTCTGGGTTCTGGACAGTTTCTCTTTCTGTTCTGGGAGTTACCGGGTGTGGGAGCCCGTGCCCTTCACCCGGCGGCAAGGTCGTCGTGGTCTGCCCTTTGGTTTCCTCTGTGCCCCCCGCGCCGGAGCCTGCAGCTGCGGGAACTTCCTAGAGCAGCTTTAGGGAGATGGGCAGCTCTCTGTGGAGTGAAGAACTCGGTGGGTTCATAGTAGCGCAGCCACCACCACCTGTTAGCGACAGAGTATTTCCATCGTCCTGAAAGGAATTGCAAAC